ACCCCCCCCCTGCCACAAGCTCTCAGGCTCTCTGCACACAGGCCCTCAGCCTTTAAACCTTCCACAAATGGATCCACTTATTTTCTGAACAGATAGGTTTCCATTCCAATCCCTACAGGTCAACCCCTGGTCCTTTCTGCCCTCAGGGCACAATGTTCTTGCTTTTGCAATCTGTTTCCTATTTCTTGTCCCCACCTGAGTGAGAAACTCAGGAGAGAGGGGCCATTCACATGTGTGTTTTTGGAACTCCAGGAAACTAATTCATAATTTCTGTTGGAGAGACTAGAAGGCTCCGTGGAAGAGACATGCACAGAATCAAGGGCTGTTGTGGTGGAGAACTTGATATTAATGGCAATGATGAAAGAAACGACTCTTTTTAAAGTGCTGGGAATGAAAGCCGGGCAAGTGCTACACAGCTGAGTCACAACCCTCCCTCCTAGGCCTTCTTGACCACAGCGCCTCTGTGCACATGGTATCACAAACGCCAAGGCTATGCCTGAGAAAATGAAACGAGCAGCAAACGCCCCATGCTGCACCAGCCTTTCGGAATTGTCTGTTTTTATTATTAGACCAATACTTTTTCTTCCCAGAACTGGACCGTGAATGCACATATTTACATGTTTAGCTTGTCTTCCCAGAATTTGTCTATAAATACTGTTTTGCTTTCTGCTGTTTTCACTAAACACCCTCTAAGCTTTTTCTTATTACGTCATTATTCTTCGAAGCCCTTGCTGTGGTGGCTATGTGGTATTAAACTCTGCAAAGGATCCCCAATTTACTTGGTGGGGGAATCTCTTATTGTTAGACATTTAGACAATGTTTTCCCTCCTCCAAATAACTCCTTGCTAAATGCCATTGAATACAAGCCTTTACAGGACACACAGTCAAGGAGTTTGATATACTCTGCCAAACTGCCCTGTGGAAACACTGACCTGGCTGCACCCTACCAGCAGAGTACAGATGCCTACATCTCGTGCATTCTTGCCACATGCAATATCTATTTTTATTTGCTAACTCGACCATTGAAAGTCTATAACTCAGTTGAATGGCATTTCACAGTCTATTTGTATAGCTGTAGTTTTGTGCCACCACAGCAGCGGTTCCCAGGGTCTTCATAGATGCCACGGTAAAGGAGGCAAGAATTTTGTCTCTTGTGCCTGGAGAGCCCTTAGAGTTCTTCGGAGCCTTCCCTCCATATTCTGTACTGTCTACTCTTTGTCTTATTACATCTCACTTACTCCATGGTTGGAGAAAGTTTGGGAAGCCAGAAGAGTCAGAGATGATGCTGATCAAAGAGGAAAGACTCACAACTTCCTCTCTATTTCAGGGCCATTGCTATCCTGTAGAACTTGCATCTGGGCTTGGAAGGAAATCTTCATTTTAGAGAGAGCACACTGGTGCTGGGTGCAGGCTGCACCTCCACCATAAATGTCCCTCCTTCTTCCTGAACTTGGTCCATATTTCATATTTCTCCTCTCTTTTCTCCTCCCCTTTCCCTCCCTCCCCTCCCCTTCCCTTCCTGAGACTACTCTGAGTCAGATGTCTGCCTTCTCTGTTACCGTGGGAAGGTTCTCTAAGGGACGACATCGACATCTTGTTCATCTTTGCACTGACAAGGTCAGCCAGTCCCTTGCAACCCTCAGTGCATCACTGATCAAATGGTTCACAGAAAACGTCAAAGAAGAAGTTGGGCCTCTCTGAAGCTGGGCACCAGTGGTCTGAGCATTCCCATTGCAGGAAAGGCCTCTCCTCTGCTCAGGTGCCAGACTAAGGTGGCAACTAAGCATTTGCTTTGTTTCCCATTTCCCAACATGGTCAGAGCATCCTAAGGTAGAACTGCACGGATCAGTGCTGACTGTTCTGAGATTGTTGTTTCCTATACGCTAGAGCAGGGCTACTCAACCTTCCTAATGATGTGACACTTTAATGCAGTTCCTCAGGTTGTGGTGACCCTCAACCATGAAATTATTTTTGTTGCTACCTCATAACTGCCATTTTGTTACTGTTAACAATCATTATTTAAATATTTGTGGTTTCTGGTGGTCTTAGAGGACCTCTGTGTAAGGGTTGTTTGACTCCTAAAGGGGTTGTAGCCCACAGTTGAGGACACTACCCTAGAACATAAAGACATACACAGGGCAGAATCAAAGTGCTACTTGATGACTATAGGAACAACTGGATGAGCCCCTCACATGTACAGAGAAGGATACTCGGTAGGTGCTCAATGACATTATGGAATCACCTGGCCTTAGAGTCAGGAATGGCATAGGTGAGGCAGGAAATCGAATGTGAAACAAATGTGTGGTTTTCTAAGTCTTTTATGTCTAAGAATGACTGGATGACTTCTCAAAATGACCCAAAGCAGAGAGGTCCTCTGGTGTGTGTGTGTGTGTGTGTGTGTGTGTGTGTGTGTGTGTGTGTGTGTATTTGATCTTTGGAGAGGCTTTTTAAGGGACTTAGCAAGTACAGAAACAGGAAACTCTAGAGACATGCCCCGGCTTCTGGGCAGGCATCTCCTAATTTATGATTTCTGTAGCCTTACCTTGGAGAATGTGCATATTAACCAGGCTGCCACGATCAGACCTATTTCTGCCCTTGCGCTTCAGGGAATCTTCAGTCTGTAGAACAAAAGCACAAAACACTCAATTTCTCTCAAAAGGAAAAAAAAAGTACTCTGTGAATGGAAAATGGAAAATATCTCCTCCCCTGCCTTTTTTTTTTTTTTTTGCAAAGAAACACAAAATTTCCCCCTAGAATTTTAGTATAGGGAAGAAGGGCAGAGAGGTAAAAAGCCTGGCCCTGAATCAAGGACTATAAATACAAAGGCATCCCAGTGATATTCATATGGCAGCTGACCTGCAGTCATTTTGCTGTAATTGATCCTATTGCCTAATAGTCACAAAAGCAACCAAGGTCAGAGATTAAACATTGCACAAACATGCACTACAACAGGACTCCATATAGCCCTTGCCAGTTGTTTTTGACATGGAAAAGTGTGAAACCTGTGATTCAGACTTTGGAAGGCACTTTGGGAAGGATGGTTTTCCATATCTCGTTGTCATGGAGGAGCTAGCTGTCTGGAGGGATGACAGGCTAGGCTCAAACCAACTGAAGATGGCATGCCTCTGACTCCTTCTTCCAGGTTCTTCCCTCTCCCTATCCTAGGTCTCCCCGGTCTCCCCAGTGCTGATGGCATCTGCTGTTCATTATTCTGCCCTGCTAGGAATCACAGCTCCTCATAAGCAACGTGGGAGAATCACAAAAGCTGTTCTTCCTGTCTATCCACAGATGGGCTACAAGGCTGCAACTAACAGGCAAGGAAAGACAGCAGCCTGCCGTTCCCATGTCACAGAAGGTGCTGACAGCTCTTACATTGTATTTATATCACCGATAGAAATCTGTGCTAAAGGTGCCTGATGAGGATGTCAATTTTTCCTTTAAATGAAAAATGAAATAAACTGAACAACCCTGTCTCCCAAATGAGAAAATCAAATGAATGTCATTCTTTGTGTAGCTCCAAATAAGTCCCACTCACAACTTTCATCTTCCCACCAAGCCCACTTATGAAAATCTGATTTTGCTAAAAATGGCTGTACTGAAAGATAACTCAGTGGGAAGGCCGACCTTACTTCTCTTCCTAAAGGTGTTTTGACTTTTTGACCTCTAGCATACCTTTGGTGACTATCCTCCAACACCCAGTGTTTAGGAGCTTTCCTTTTTAAGTTGAAAACCATCACTCTTAAAGCTTATACAGTAGATGTCATTTTCACAGTATCTTTGGTCCATGGGAGTGAGAGTCCATATGGTGTGAGGACAGGGATGTGGCCATTTGGAGTTTGTCGTAGAAACCCTACATACTTAAGCCAAAGTTTTAGCATGCAATGTATATAATCTGTCAGCCATGGTCAGAAAAGGCAGTTTGCAAAAATTACCTTGATACTATCCAAATTTTTTCTTGGGTCATGGAATTCAGTTGGACTTTTCAGTGCTGCAACAGAAAGATAAAGAGGTGAGCAGAGGCTGGCTGAAGGCAGGGCTAGTATTGCAAGGTTGCTGCGTGCTTGCTGAGCTATGCACAGTCTGGACGTGATGGCCTCTGTCAGGCTACAAGCAACAAAGTGATGGCCTGGAAGATGCCAGCTGCGCAGAAGCTGCAGGAGACAGAGGAAGACAGAGCTCTGGCCTAAACCAGGAAGAGCAGCAGAGGCAGGATATGCAACAAGAGGTGTGGTGGAGGCAGGCCATGCCAGGTTTCTGAGGAAATAGAGGGGCTAGAATAACCTTGGTTTGAGGGAGATGCTAAGTGGGGCAACCAACACCCTTACTGACTTAACTAAAACTTAGTTCTAATGGTTTGGTGGATGGTTGTAGTCTGGGATGCATGAGGGGATCTTGGAGGAAGAGACTACTTTGGAAAAGAATGTGGCTGGTTCACCATGAACAGGCAGCCAAGGGTGTTGAGTGAGAAGCTGAGATTCAGAATATGAGAACTCAAAGGGTCTATGGAAACAGTGAACTCCAATCCCAAACCTAAACAAAGTGGGGAAACTGAGGTCCACAGAAATGGATTGACTTATCCAGGAGCACACAGTTGGATCCTACATTCTCTGATTCCCTCATCTTTATCCAGGAGTGGGGTTCCAACTATTGTCTGTCAGCAGACATGGGCCTCCCCAGGCACTCATGTCCTGTGGCATAGAGTAGCACAGAACAGTCAGCCTGTACCAGTTAGCACTTCCACTCTTCTCACTGTGTCCTCCCATCTCTCCTCGGAGCACCTCTCCACTATGGTTCCATAAACTCAGTGTAGCAAGAGTGCAGAATCTCTTTCTGCACACATCTGGATTTTGTATTGGCTTCCTGGGAACAATCTCAGCTGGGAGCCATAGACAACCACATTTCACTGTAAGTGAAAGATTGAACAAAGTACAGAATTGCATTGCTTTCCTTTTTAAATTAGTTGTAAATCTGGATGTATTTGTGAAACACATGATCCAGATTCTACAAATATTCTAGCAGGTGTCCACTCTTATGCTACAGGCAAGGAAGTCATTTTCCAAATATTGAATTAGGTTTCTGGCTAGGTCTCTCTCTCTCTCTCTCTCTCTCTTTCTCTCTCTCTCTTCCCCTCTCTCTCTGTT